ACCCTCTGCACTGACCCCAGGCCACCATGCGCCCACTCCCCTGTGTCTCCCTGGCCCTGTCCTGAGCACACAGACTGGCCTTCCCCTGCAGGAACCGCGGCAGACAGCCGGGCGCCTGGCATGGGGGGTGGGGGGCCTGGGGGCTGCAGCTGCATGTCTCAGGGCCGGGAGCGGGCAGGGCCAAAGATACACCATGAAGGCCATCCTGGGCGCTGAGGACGTCAGTCCTTTGAGGCAGTCCAAGGCTGAACTGCAACTGCCCTTCCTGCCTCCGGCCCGCAGATCAATCATGGGGACCTCCGGAAAGCAAGGACAGGGCTGGCAGCCTCCTCACCAAGATCTGAGGCAAGCAGCAGTGACAGCCTGTGTCATCCTTCACAGAGGGCTGATAACCAGACCTTTATGTGACAGGCCTCATCCGGGACTATCGGGAACAAGTCCTTGAGTGTGCAATGGGACTGGGGGCTGGGGTTGAGCAGACATGAGACTCAAGACCCCGCTAGGCCCAGCATGGGGCCAGCTTGGACACCAGCCCCACATGGGAATATGGACCTCAGACACGGCTCAGTGGGCACAAAGGTCCCAGGAGGGCCACTGTATTCCCCTGTGGTTGGGCTGGGGTCCTGAGGCACCTGGGTGGTCCAGAGCCCAGGTCCAAAGCCAAATGCCCAAGCTGGCCCAGTGCTCTGTGTCCCCAAGTGTGATGGCAGCAAGGACCAGACACAGGGGTGCCAGCCCCAAGCTCCATGTTGCACCCAACCTGGCACTGACAGCCCCTCCTCCTGATGTGGGCCTTAGAGCCCCAGGCAGGTCAGGGAGGCCTGGTGTGGGGGTGGCCCAGGATGGCCACATGGGTGAGGGCTATAGGGGCCGCTGCCTGGGGTGTTGTGGTTGTGGAGTCAGCTTGGCCCTGGTATCCAGCCTCAGACCAGGTCCTGAGGGGACAGCCTAGCAGGAACAGGGCTGGACTGGATCACACAGTGGGGTCTCCCTGGGCTCCGTGGAGGGTTGTGGGTGGTTGTGCAGAGGGGGCCATGGACTCTCTCAGGACTCCCCACTAGACCTGACCTGGCAGCTTGACCACTTCATAGACCCTCCAGGCCTTCCCAAGGCCCCCTCCCTACCAGCTGTGGACCCCACAGCAGGCAGCACCTGGTAGACTGGACATTGCCAGGCAGAAGCAGACTGGGCCAGCACAGGGATCAGAATCCTTTATTACACCAAGGATAACAGTGTGTGGGTCCAAGCATCGGCCTGTGCTGCTGGCCTTGTGGGTGGCAATCACTTAGGACTGGGACTCTTAGGACTGGGATGTCTAGGACTCAGACTCGAACATCTTCTTCCGGCCCTCCATGCCCGACTTCTCCTCAATGTTCTTCCTCCAATCACCCACATCGCGCAGGTCCCGCTCCTGGGGGCCGGGACCGGGCTCAGCACACCCACGCCACATGCCCACGTCCAGCCACCCCCAGCCCCAGGCCGCCCTGCCAGGCGAGGGCAGCGGGAGCACGCACCTTCTCTGTGTCTTCCTTTTTGACCTGCTTCAGGTTGGCACGCAGGTCCATGCACACTTTGTGCTTGGAGCCCAGCAGGGCCTTGAGCATGGCGTCGGCCGACATGCGCACGCGGCGCAGCGGGGGCCTCTTGAACTTGCCCCTCAGGTCGAACAGCTTCTGGTTCATGTCCTCCAGCTGTGGGGGAGAGCCGTGGGCACCCAGTCCCGCCCTGCCCTTTGCCCCACCCCATGCCCTGTGCCCTCACCTCCGACCCCAGGCCCTCACCTCCTTGCCACTCTTCTGCACCTTCACCTCCATGTCGTACTTCTCCTCCTCAGCAGCGTCGATCTTGGCGTGCAACTGCTTGCAGAGCTCCTGGGGCAGGGGTAGTGGGTGGGCAGCCGCCACACCATGGACGGCCACTGTTGCCCGCCCCACCCTGACCTCCCAAGAGCCCTCCTGCCAAGTGGGGAGATGGGGCAGCAGGCAGGGCTGCAGGGTGGCAGTGGGGCGGACCACAGGCAGGACTGCGGGGTGGCAGTGGGGCAGGCCGGTACCTGCACCTCCGACATGGAGCTGGGGATGTGCAGTGGGGGGCAGTGTTCTGCCAGATAGTTCTGCTTTTCTGCCTCCCGGCGGCCCTCCTCCTTCTCCAGCTCAGTGGCCGCAATCTGGAGCATCACGCTCTGCGGGGGGCAGCTGGTGAGGGCCCTGGCCTGCCCGCCACACTGGACCACCTGGAGCCCTCCTGGAGTCCCAGCCTACCTTCAGGTGCTGTCTCCGGGCCGTGATGGCCCTGTTGCGCTTCTGCAGGAGGGAGGGGACAGAGTCAGGGCCCTGGCCTGGAGCCCCCATGCCCACCCAAGTCAAGAGCTCCTGCCCTACCCCTACCATGCTTTAGGTGGCTCATGCCTCATGGTGGGTGCCACTTCTCCAGATGACAGAGACAGAGTCTCATTTTGTCACCCTCAGTAGAGTGCCAGCATGGTATCACAGCTCACAGCAACCTCCAGCTCTTGGGTATAGGCGATTCTCTTGCCTCAGCCTCCCAAGTAGCTAAGACTACAGGCGCCCGCCACAATGCCCAGCTATTTTTTGTTGCAGTTTGTCCAGGGCCGGGTTTGAACCTGCCACTCTCAGTATATGGGGCCAGTGCTGGTCGTTCCCAGCCCTAGTCATTCCAAACTTGGTCTGTCTCCCTCAACTGCAACCTAAATTCAGAAAACATAAAAGCACACAGGACTAGGGCTAGGGCCCTAGAGGCAGTGGATGGGACCGTGAGGTTAAGGCCAGAGGTGTAGAAAGAAGAAGCAACTCGTGTGACCAGGCCACAGCCCCACCGGGCCCAGGTGGCCACCTCCTCTTTCAGCAGAGTCTTGGCCGGTGGTGGGGCGGGGGGGCACTTCCATGGTAGATGGCTGGGCCATCTTCCTAGGGCCTCAGGGCTTTGAGGCTCTGACCTCTGACCTATGCTGAGGAAGAGGAGTCCAAACCCCACTGTTTCCTGCAACCCCCAAGCAGGTACTCACCTCCTCACTGTCCCAGGAGGGAGGACAAGAGGAAGAAGGGGAGAGAGAAGAGAGAGGTTAGGGCCATGGCTGGCAGGGCATGGAGGGCTATGTGAGGGGCCATGGGGCACCACCAGGGACCACTTACTCTCCCATCCTGAGGTCTTGAGCAGAGAGCCTGTGGGGAGAGAGAGGCAGGGGTGTCAGCTGGGCCTTCACACTTGTGGCACCAGCACCAGGGGTGGCAGGGGCACAGGCCTCTTGCTAACCAGCCCCTGCCCTGCCTCCACCTCCGACCTCACTCAAGGGCGATGTCTTGGAATTCCCCTGGTGAGAAGTAAGAGGAGAAAGTGTTCCCAAAATGTCCCAGGCGGGGCCCGAGGAGCTGCAGCTGTCCCCGAGGGAGGGTGGGATGGGCCAGCGCAGGTGGCCTCCAGAGCGACGCTGTTATTTTTAACTCTGTTCCTTTGGCTTCGGGCCTAAGTGCATGTAAGGAAACTGCTCCCCAATCTGCTCTGCGGGCTCAGGTCCCAGGGTGGTTTGACCTGAACACTCTCCTGCCAGGGTCCCCGAAAATAAGGCCTGATCATTAGGCCCCTGGACCACCCTGCCCCATCCCAGCCTCCACCCATAGCATCTGCTTCTCTCCAGCTCTGAGGAAGCCCCTCAGGCCCCCAGGCCCCTTGCCCCAGAAGTCCCCCTGAGAGCTGGCTGGAGCACTGCCCTGTCCCCTGGCCTCGGTGGGCCGGACTGGGCCTCACCTAGTGTCTGGGAAGCAGTGCTGGGCGCAAGGTCGGCCGGCAGTGGTGAGCTGGGCTGGTGGGCCCGGGGAGGGGTATAAATGGCCTCTCCTGGGCTGGGCCCCTGCTCAGAAAGGGCATGGAGCCCTCCTCAGACCAATGGGGGCCCAGATAGCCGAGAGGCCTCTCCACCTGCCCAGGCCGCCTGGCCGGGCGCGTGCTGCCATCCAGGCCAAGAAGTCTTGGGAGGGTGCGGTTGGGTGTCTCTATTTAGGGATCAGTGACAAGCCCGAGATGCCTCCCTTGTTCTTGCAAGGAGCCCAAGAACAGCTGCAGTGGCCGCACGAGGGCCTTGCTGGGGCATGGCTCAGGCCTCAGTGGAAGGACACTCCTCTCGGCCCATCTCAGTCAGTGTCCCGTCCACTGTCCCTGCTGGGCCCCTGTGGTCCATTGTCCCCAGGTCAGCTCTCGAGGGACAAGCTGGCACTTCCCTCCCCATCTGCCCCTAGGTGTGGCCTAGACCCTGAACATGGCCTCCTGGGCCTGCTGTAGCGTCAGCCTGCTTTCCTGCCAAGGATTGGGGGGCTGGCCTGCCCTCAACACCCTGCCATGGTCCCCTTCACCTGGGCGGCTTGGGACATGTCCTTCAACCCAGGGTAGCAGCACCACCCACCTGGGAACCTCTCTCTGACCTGCAGGGGCTCAGCCTGCCTGGCTGCCTGGGCAGGCCCCATGTGGCCCTCTCATCCAGGCCGCCCCCAACAGAGGCCCCCGGGCCGTGACTTGGCACCCTCTCCCAGCCCTGCCGGCAGCCCATGGGGCGGCTCAGAGGAGACACGCCATGCGGGAGGCTTTGGAGACACTAAGGCGGCCCAGATGTGTGAGGAATGGGAGGCCCTCTTGCCGCTGGGCTGCACCACCAGGGCCAGGACCATTTCCGAAGGGGTGTGCTGCCCCCTGCTGCTCACACAGGAGAGGCACCACCACGGCCATATCTTTCCCTTTGTCCAGCAAGGGCCTCTCCTCCCACCTCTGCCCATGTGGACCCCAGGTGGTAGGACTCTTGCTGAGCCCCCTCCATCCAAGGGCCAGGTGCCCACCCATTGGAGACCCTCCCCCATCCTTGGGAAGGGCTGTTGTGTGAAGGACAGAGCCACACCCCCAGCCTCCACATCCCCCCAGGCCTGAGCAGGACAGGCAGTGGCAGGTGAAATGTTTATTACAGGAGGTTCCAGGGAACTGAGGCACAAGGGCCTTCAGGAATGAAGTAAGGGCAAGTCCAGACGTGGCTGCATGGCCAGCATGCAGTCCACCTCCCCGGCAGGCTGCAGGCGGTGCCACTGGGCAATGGGCCGCCGGGCATGGACCAGCATGTCTGCCCAGTGCTGTAGGGGCTTGCCAGAGGCTCGGGCACCAAGAAGTACCTTGCCCATGGTCTCAGCCCGGAGCTGCGGGCCACGGGCCCAGACAGCCAACACCAAGTCCACACTCTGGGCATAGGTGGACCACCAGGCCAGTGTAGGAGAGAAAGCCTGTGATCAGTTCGGGCCAGCCAGGAACCTCACCCACCCCTTCCTCCTGGTGGCCCACCTGGATCTGGCTGAAGGGCATGAGGAAGGTGAAGACCTGGTTGAAGTAGGGGGCAGCAGAGCCCTTCCTGGCAGACGTCTTTCTCTTCTTCCACTTCCGCTGGTTCAGCATGAGCTGGACCTTCACATAGAGCTCTGGCCAAGTGAGAAGGGATGGAGGGTGGCCCAGGCCTAAGTCCTGAGCACAGGACCCCCAGCTCTGTGTCCACCAGGATGGGCAGGAGTACCTCTCACCTGCCAGCCCTGGTTGCAGGCCCCGGGCCTCCAGCACCACCACGGACAGTCGGCCTGAGCCAGGCATATACTGGAGTGAGATGCACAGCTCCCCAGCCTGCTCGGGCTATGGACAGTGAGGGGCCTCAGTCCCTGATGGCATGGGGGCAGGGATGCAGGCTGGGCTGGGGCCTGGTGTGCAGCAGCTCACCTGGGCAGCACTAGGTGGGCCTAGCTGGTACCAGCACTCCAAGACATACTGCAAATCCACCGTGCCCAGAAGCAGGCTGAGTGAGCCCAGAGGCTCGTGCTGGGAGAAACGCCTGAAGTCCAGCAGCTGTACCTGCAGGGTGGTCCCAGGCAGCTCGGCCTGTGGGACCTGAGGGCAGTGGAGTGAGCTGGGCCCCTGCCCCAGTTGGGGCCCTCCTGGCAGCACTGCCCCCACTCACATGGAAGCTGCAGGCTTCATCAAACACTGGGCAGAGGGTGCCACGGTACACCCTCGTCTGGTGCCTCTTCCGCATCTGGGTGGACCGCTGACAAGGGCATAGGGGTTCGCCGTGCCTGCCGCCTTCAGGTCAGCTGCCTGCTTCAGGCCCACCCTGATCTGGGAGCCAGTGGGTTGGGCTCAAACCACCCGCACTGTCAGCCCCCCACCACCCGGGTACAGCATTTGCCCCTCACCCCTCCAGAACTCGCAGAACCTCTGGGCCTACACAAGGGAGCCCTTCACCTCCTGGCTCTCAAAGTCATACTCCAGGGAGAGCTGCAGGCGCCCCCATTGCGAAGGTTCCCCAGGACTGGACTCCAGGTCACTCACATCCGGCTGCACCTGGGGCGAGTGGGGACAAGGGTGGCAGGAGCTTCACCCACAGAGTGGGGTTGGCACACAGCAGCTCCATTATGAGAGTCAAACCGTGCACCTTGGGCCTGGTTGAAGTAGGGGCAGTAGAGCCCTCAGAGGGCTCACAGCCTCAGCTTAGCTCTGCCCCAAACATGGTGTCTCTTGTACCACTGCCTTCCTCAAGGACCTTCTGTGGCTCTCTATGGCCCAGGGACAAACGTCTATCTCTTGTGTGGCCTGCACTCAGCTTTGCCCGTCTGCTTCCCCTGAGAGAAAGGCCCTTGATGTGTCTGCTTTTGGGTGGATCAGACCATCCCTGTGGCTCACCCCTGAACACCCTAAGCTACCCTGAGCCCCTCAGCTTGGGCTTTGCACTGCCCACTGTGCAGAGGCAGGTGGAGCTGGGCACTGGGAGGTGGCGCCTCACCAGATGGGTGGAGGTGCTGCTATGGGCGCTGCCCAGGCCCACGGCCTCCCTGTCCCTGGGCTTCTTCCTGTGGCGGTGACGGCGGCAGCAGCAGCAACAGATGGCACAGAGCAGGCAGAAGACACCAAGAACGGTGGCAAGAGCAACGAGGACGAGTGCCCAGCGGGGCCCTGGGGGACAGAGACCAACATGCGCCAGTGACAGCCCCTGTGGGCCTCGCCCTCCCTCCATCCCTCCCGGGGTCCCCAAACTCACAGGGGTTCCTGGCAATGAGGTCTGGAGTGAGTCCAGGCACAGCTGTGGTACCAGCTGGGGCTGGGGTTCTATGGGCATCTGGTGAGCGCCCCATCTTTCCCATGGTGGCTTGGAGGAGACAACCAGGAAGCCTGGGTCACGTGGGGGGACGGCCCCTGGGGGGATGGCCCCTAGGGCCCCTGCCCACTGCCCCCTCTGCCTGGCAGTATCCTGTACAAGGTCTGCATGGGCAGGAGGTGGTCTGGGTGGCCGGGGGCCAGGGTTCTGAGCAGCAGGAAGTCAAAGGAGGGAAGTGCTGGGCCTTGGCCAAAGTACTAGCTCAGCTGCCACAGCCCAGACTCCTGGGCACCTCTCCTCAGCCTCCAGCCCCAGCCAAGCAGGCCAAGCCTGTACAGCCTGTGAATTCAGAGCACTCTCCTCTCACTGTAGAAAGCCCCTTCTCTCCCTACCCTTCTCCCCTAGGCCTTGGGCCCTGCCTGGGGGTCCCATCTCTTCAATGGGGGGGTCTCATCTCATTGAGGTTCCAACACACCCCCACCACACCCCCCAGGGACCACCACAGTTCACCAGCCACATGGGTGGAGTGTGCTCACTGAAGACCCAGGCCCAGGAGCCTGGCTTCTCTGGGGCACAGGAGAGGGATGCGGGTGGGGCTGGCTGCAGGGTGGGAGCTGCTCTAAGCAAGCCCAGGCCAGGCTGAAGGTGTGGTCCTGACTGGGGCGCAGGGCCAGCAGCACCTGGGGACAGAGGGGGGGAGGGCAGGGAGAGGAGGGCAGGCAGGGCAGGGTAGGGCGGGAGCAGCCAGAACATTCCTCCAGACTGACTCAGGGCCGCCCAGACTTGCTACCTGCCTGCCTGGCCACCCTTTGGCATATGGGTGGGAAGGAGGGTGGGAGCCCCTCACCTCACCTGCCTGGGGCCTGGGACAGAGTGCACCTGGCCAGACTGGCTCCTCCCATCCATGGGGGAAAAGTCAAGTTCCTCCCCATGCTGGGGCCACCACCAGTCCACTGTGGTACTCTCCCCTTCCTCCCTCCCACCAGGAATCTCAGTCCCTCCAACTTGGGGTCTCCCCACCTTGCCCATGAGAACCTGTGACCCTTCTTGCCATGTTCAAGTTCAGCTCAGCCCTAGGGGCCCAAACCAGGGCCAGATCCCCTCATCTCTGAGCCTCCAGGCTGGTGCAGAACATGGGGAGAGAAAGGGACACCTCACACATACACAGTATTGCCACCCCACACCCCTGTGGGCTGAGGGGGTGGCTCCAGCCCCAGACCTACCCCAAGCCCCAGTGTTCAGAGGAGGGGAGTGCAGTGCAGAGAGGCAAGGCTGCCTGGGCCTCAGCAGGCATTCAGACCCACCTGCTTGCCCGCCCCATGGGGCTCTTCATTCCCGTTGTCTCTGAGGCAGCATGGTGGTCCCCATTCATGGGTGAGCAGACCAAGGCTGAGAACCCCATTATATGATCCCTGAGGCCAGCATGGCCGGGAGCCCAGCCTGTCCCCAGAACAGACAGGCCAGGCCTGGGGGTACCATAGGTGCAAACAGGATGTGGAGGGAAAAACCGGCTCCTCCTCACTCTGCACCCTGACCATTCTCAGAGGTCACACACCCTCACTCTGCACCAGGCCCTGCAAACTGCAACTGCTCCTGGGCAGGGCCCCACTGCAGAGGGGGTGGGTATGCCGCTAAGCTCAAAGGCCTAGGAGCCCCTCTGCCCACTGGGAGTTCCCAGGGTGCTGGCGTCCTTCAGTGGCTAGCAGAGTCTCCCAGTGTCAGTGGGCAGGAGGGTCTGGCAGGAGCCTCAGAGGATCCCACAGGGTCCTTGGGTCCAGATCCAAACAGGCCATGGCTCCCAGGAGGATTTAAGTGTTCTGGGACTGAAGTAGTTTCATTCCAGATTTTTATGGCTGAGGACTCAGGATAAATCTTCCATACAACATCCACCTGTGCCCCTCCCCTGAACCCCTGCTCTGCTGTTTCTCTCGCCTCCTGCAGCCTAACAGGGGCAGGGAGGGGACAGCTTAGCTGTAATTTTCTGCTGTTGTTCAGCGGGTTTCCTGAGCCAGCCTGGGCAGGCTGTCCCTAGAGACCATAGGGGCTATGGGATCTGGCCCTGGGGGGGTCCTGGGAGCTTAGGAACTCTGGCCACTAGCTCTGGAGAATGCCTAGGTCTGGAGAATGCAGGATCCCTCAGCCCTACCAGGTTCCCCCAGGGGTGAGGGTCAGGCAAAGGATCGGCAGGCATGAGGCCACCAGGTGGCGCTATCTGCTCCACTGGACCCAGCCCGTGGCAGCACCTAGACGGACCCTGAGTGGGCTGGAGCCCAGGCAGAACAGACACAGGAGACGAACATTCAGACTAGAGAGACTCCTTGGTTCTCTCCCCACCCAAGGAGTCTCAGGCAGGCAGCTGCCCATTCCTGGAGGCAGGCAGTCCCTCCTGCCACCTGCTCCAGCCCGCCTTCATCTGAGGCTGCAGGGAAAGCCCTCTATTGGGTTAGCACTGTTTCTTCCCAGGAAAGGGAGACAGGGGCCCTTCCTGAGTCACCCCAGTGACCAGCCACCTGCCCCAGAGACTCCTCCTTGAGGCTCTGCAAATTCAGCTGTGCCCCCCACAAGGGACAGCCGGTCTGTTCCTGTGGCTGACAAGCTGTGCCAAGCCGTCCCTTCCCCACCTGAAAGTCCCTCTGCTTCAAGGCCTGTATGGGCCCCACCTCTCCCTGAGAGGCCCCCACCCATCTCACTCCAGAGCCCAAGCACTTTGTGCTGAAGTCCCGACTACAAGCCCAGATCCCAGCAGGCAGAGCACGGGTGGCCCCCAGACTCCCTGTGAGCCATACAGGCACATCTCGTAGCCCGTCTACTGTCAGCCTAACTGGCGTCTTTTGTGCCTTTGTGAGAACGAGTTTCTATGGGTCCTTCCTCTGGGAAAGCAAGATCCCTACAACATTTTGGTGGCAGCCCCCTAGGTATATAGTTGCTCACCTGATGCCTACCGCTCTCTGTGACCAGCCAGCCACTAGGCCTTCCTCTCCAGGCCTGGGCACCCAGAGGTCTGTCCCACTCTTGGACACTCTGCCCCTCTCAGTGAGGAGGGCATGGGAGGCAGGGCTTCAGGGAGCCCCACCTCGTGTCTGGAACCACTGGCCCTCAAGAGCAGGGACACTCCCTTCGGGAGGAATGTCCCTCCAGGGCCTGAGTGTCAGGGCTCTGGCCCACCCCCAGGGCTCTCTCTCAGGGGTGGGGGTGTCTTCAGTCCTACCAAACTTTGTAAGACAGAATAGGCCCACTGGGCTGGCCTTTGTGAGGGGAGCTGGGGAAGACAGGCTGGCTGGGTTTAAGCGGGTCAGGTACCCCAAAGTGGTGTTCTGAGTCACAGGGATATCTGGTTTGGGGGATGGCACCTTCTGGGGCTTATGGCTCCAGTGGAACCAAGCATGAAGAGGGTGGGAATCCAGAAGGGGCACTGCAGGGAACTGCTTTCTCAGTGCTGCCCAGGGCAGTGCTGGGGGCTCTCACAGAGACTGCCCCTGCTTCCAGGTTGTAGAGACCTCCTGCAGACCTTAGTGGGGTGACCCACTCACCCCCATGAGGTCTCATCAGGTGACCATGAGCCAGTGGTTTGCAAGTCCTCACTACAGTCTAACCTCAGCACCTCTTGCTTTAGCTGGACCCTGAGCAGAGCTTATAACTGTAGCTCCATCATGCTGCTCTGGCCAGTTATTTGGGTCCAGTCCTCTTGGCCAAGACCCTTAGCTGCACCCAACTCTGAGCAGCCTTTCTGGCCAGGTTGCCTCTCAGAACCCCTTATCTGTGGCTGGCTGGTGGGACGTAGGCTGGTTAATACATAACAGGTTAATACATAACAGGTTAATACATAACAGCCACAGGGCCTGGCTGCAGGGCTGGCCAGGCAGGACTTCTGCAGACACGGCCCAGGCTCGGGGGTGTTCTGGCTCCCAGCGGGTGATGTGTGGGCATGGATGTGCACATGTGTGCCCATGCTGGTCACCAGTGGCTCCTTCTTGTGTGTTCCCTGGGCAGGAGGTGATAGGGGCCAGGACCTACCCTGTCACAATCTACGGGCACTAGAGGGAAGCCTGTTGGGGCTGGCAGGGCACTTAGGCCAGCAGAACACAGTGGTGGGGGCTTCCAGTGGCCCCACAGTGCAGGCCAACTCTGTGCCCATGTGTGGCTCCCCCGCCCAGCTGTGTAGGGGCTTTGTGCCTTCCCAGCATATGGCGCCTCTGTGGCGAGACGGGTGTCTGAGTTTCTTGGGCAGGAAGGAGAAAACCAAACAGCCGGCAGCCCTAGGCTAGCCCTGCGGCCCCCAAGACAGCAGCTAGGCAGCTGGCAGCCCACGAAGACCCTGGCAGGTTCCTGTGCTCACACACTTCCTTTAAGGCCGCCTGGGAATGTCTGTGGTTGAAGCACATGAGAAATGCTGGCTCGGGGGGGACTGAGAGCTGCTGGCACACATGGGGGTCTCCACGGTCTGGCTCGGGGGTACTGAGAGCTGCTGGCACACATGGGGGTCTCCA